CTGGTAAGTGACTGCAGAGATGCACAGTGGAGATTGTACGATTGGCACAGGACTAGACAAGGTTTTGATCTGTGATACACAGGGCCATTTTGTGTTCAAGGTGGCTTGGTGGAGCCCAACAACAACAGGAAAATGAGGTGTTAATGCAGACAAAAGTGCATGATGCTTTCACTACATTGCCTGTGAGGAGAATAATGTTTCCTCCAGCCTTTTGTGAAGGGATCCAATTGCATCTCTGGAGCAAGTATCTCCAGATAAGCAACAGTAAGGAATAATTGGATTTTCTTTCTACTCTGCCTTAGTCTGGAAATCATCACGTAACCTGCTACTCTGTATTAAATTTTATTCTTCCACAATACATATAGTAGGTGCAAATCTTATGTAGGGCACTCTGGCAGTTAGTTTAGTGCTAAGAAACTGTGCTCCAATCCTGAAGGCATGCAGTTCAAATCCACCAGCTGATCCACAGGAGAAGGAGGGGCAATCTCCTCCCATTTAGCTGACTCTGAAAACCCACTAGTGGGTCAGCTGTGGGTCGCTTCTGACTCAATGGTACACAACAACAACAAACTTAGATAGGAAGATCTGGTGGCTTAGTGGTAAGGACTGGCACTCCCAACACAAAGGTATGTGGTTCAAATCCACCAACTGCTGCTCCACAGGAGAAAGATGGGCAGTCTCTTTCTGTGCAATTTATAGCCACTGAAAACCCACAGGAGGGTCAGCTATGGGTCATTTCTGACTTAACAGTACACAATAACAACAACAACAACTTTATATCCATGTACCTGTAATCTCATTTGGGAAAACCATTTTCTTTGCAATGCTAGCGAGGCCATTCAAGTAGGTGTATTTTAAACTAATAACCTCTGAGATGTAAAAACAAGACGTTAGTCAGAAAGAAGGAAGCACAAACGGAGAAAGGGTGATGCCACATGGAGATCACCATGGAATCAAAGAAGAAAATCTGCAGGAGACAAAGATTTCTCCTCAGAGAGGATAGAGAGTGCCTTCTGCTAGGGTTGACACCCTGAATTTAGACTCCAAACCTCCTAAACTGTGAGAAAATTAATTTCTATTCCTTACAGACTTTTTCTTGTGGTATTTCTGTTATGTTGTTATGTGCTGTCTAGTTGAAACCAACTCATAGCTGAGTCTTCAGTGGGTTTTCAGAGGCTGTAAATTGCACAGGAGGAGATTACCTATTTTCTCCCACAGAGTAACTGATGGATTCGAACCACGCGCCTTTGTGTTGGCAGCAAACACTTGCTCAGCATCACAGCAACACTTGAGCCTCCACTGACAGGTGGGTGGTGGCTGTTCATGAGGGGTACTGGCTAAGAAGGAAACTGGTCTCCTGCATGGAAGTGCAGAATCACCTAAGTCAGAAAACGGCCATTTGTGCTTTCCTTGCTGCCTGCTCTAAGAAGCAGGCAGGAGCTGTACAGAGCTGAATCCTGGGTGCCGCTGTGTGAGAGAGTCAGAGCTCCTGTTCCATCTCCCTCTTCCTGCAAACCCTCCACGACAGAAAGATCAGCAGTTTTGAGAACGTAAGCGGGCAGGAGATACGACAGGGCCTGGAGAGGATGCAGAATGCTCTGAGAGCACTTGAAGAGGGGAAGAAAAGAAGCAGAGAAGGATTTAAAAAAGAAATCTAGTAGCAAAGCATTGGGAGACTATAACTGAGCTACTTTCTACAAGAAGAGATGCCATGTTTTCAGTGCAAAGGTGTCTGCCAGGTATACTGCAAGGCTCTGGATTTAGGGACGACATACCTCACAGATTGATCCTATAAATGGACCTCTATGGAAAAGTTCTGAACATTACACAAACAGAAAAAGAGTAGTGTTACAGATAATTTGTTGTTGTTATATGTTGTTGTGTATATACCATTGAGTCGCCTGCAACTCATAGCGACCCTATCTACAAAGGCTCTGAACCCTGCCCTATCCTGAGCCAGTCACAGCAACTCCCACATACTTACCACCATTACTCTAGTTACTCTGTCAATCCATCATATCTACAGATAATTTAGACATGCCATTTCCCAGGTAATTTGCACATGCCATTCCCCAGAACACATTCGGTCTAAACAGATCTCATGCTGCCTGAAGATAAACAAATAAAACATGTAAAGGCTTTAGAAAAATGAAGAACAAAAAGGGCTAAGAGAAAGAACATGGCTCTGAAAACAAATTTGTATTGGACCCAGAAAAACATTCAGAAAGATGTTCAGCATCACAGTAAGATGGTGCCTGTGTAAGAGCTGCATGCAGAAAAACCAATAAGACGTGTTGAAAATGGAAAAGAGCAAAATAAAACAGGGTAGTTAGGAAATTAAAACTGTAATAATCATATGCAATGCAAGCATAAGAAGCAGAGCAATCAAACACAATATTAAATTAATATTAGAAAAGGGATCTTCTAAGAATCAAATCCCTATGCACATCCAAAAACGTCTCCAACAGGGTAAAAGGGAAGCCACAGACTGGGAAAAAGTATCTGGTAATGCAATGTCAGATAAGGGACTTATATCTAGAATTTATAGAATACTGAAACACCACAACAAGATAAAAGAAAATAACCCAGTTGAAAAATGGGCACAGGATATGAACAGACACTTCACCAAAGAAGACATTCAGATGGCCAACAAACACATGAAGAAATGTTCAAAATCCCTAGCTCTAAGAGAGATACAAATCAAAACAACTATGAGATATCATCTCAACCCAGTCAGAATAGCAAAATTCAACAGAACAGCAAACAGTAAATGCTGGCGAGGTTGTGGAGAAACTGGAACCCTTATTCACTGTTGGTGGAAGTGTAAAATGGTGTAACCACTATTGAAGGCTGTATGGCACTTTCTCAAAAAGTTGGAGATAGAAGTACTATTTGACTCAGCAATTCTACTACTGGGAATATACTCCAAAGAAACCAGAACTGCCACCCAAGCAGATTTATGCACACCCATGTTTACTGCAGCTTTGTTGACGATAGCAAAAAGTTGGAAACAACCCAAGTGCTGATCAACAAACAAATGGATAGAGAAGCTGTGGTATATTCACACAATGGAATACTATGCTGCATTGAAAAACAAGGAACTCATCCAATATTATAGAAAATGGGTGCCACTATGGTCATAGGACATTATCTCAGTCACAAAAGGACAAATACTGTATAATGCCACTGTTGTAAAACTGACTGGACTGACATTGGGATTGGGGGAACCTAAGAAAAGAGGGGATAAATAATGTATACTGCATTAAAACAGATGAGGGAGAGAACTGTTTAAAAGGAATATAAGATTAAGTATTATTTTCATGACAAGGTTACAGAAAAAGAAATGCATATTAAAGTGGACTGTGGACTAGGGGGATTGTAGAACAATGAAAGAATTTTTTTTCTTCAAAGAGAAAAACAAACAGGGGGAGGGGTGGGCAGGGAGGAAAATGTGCACAATGAATGACTGGGGAAAAATTAAATGCAAAGAATATGGTGTAAAAAATATATATGTTCATTAAAATATCATTAATAAAAATTAATTAAAAAAAGAAAAGGTAAATTTGAAAGTTTCTCCTAGGATATACAGAAAAAGACCAAAAAGATGAAAACAACGAGAAAGAACAAAATTGTTAAGAATAATCCATCATCTTATTCCTACTCCTGGAGGAGAGGCCGAATGAAATGAGACAGAACCATGTAATATAGGGGAAATTTCCCACAAAGGGAAAGGCATGGGCTTACTAAATGAATATACATCCATCAGACACATTACAACTTTAAGTCAAGAAACTCAAATGGAGAGAAAGGACAGGTCAGGAGAAGAAAGTTTAATAGAATTATTCCAAAGGCAAAGTTCTTGAAAATGAGAATGAAGATAAGGCTTAGTTATCTACATAAACACATGATGTCAAGAATGAAGTTGAACACTGTTTTCGTTTAATTGTGAGAATTCATGACATGTTACCACCTTAGTGTGAGAAGCAGGCTGTGCTGTCGGTACAAAGAGTAGAAAGCGGTCATCTGATGACTGATGCCCACAAATACAAATTATTAGTGCAACTAATTAATTACAAAGTCTGATCAATTTCCTTATTATATAGGAATATATGTGTGTGTATATATATATATATATGCCTTTACTTTCACCTATTGGAAGCAGGAGTGGCATCCACTTCCTAAACCACATGCCTCTGGAAACTCTGTGAACATTGATAAATGGCGTGCTTAACTTGACAGCAAACAATAACCACCACCACCTTCAACTGACTTATCTACTGGTTAATTTTTACTTCTCTCTCCCTCCCTTCTCATCCCTAGCAACTATTCGTGTGCTAATTTCTGCAAGAGGATCATTCATTGTCTCTTCCTAGGCTCTCTTAGTCTGGTAGCTTTGTGGAAACTTATCTACCATCTGTGGCTCTGTTGGTATTTAAAACTTGTTGGCAATGCATGATAGAGGCGTAACTACCAACATCAGGTAGTTGTTGGGTTCTGTCAAGTTGAAACTGACCCTCAGTGGCTTTTCAGAAGCAGTAAATCACACTGGAGGAGACTGGCCCTCTCTCTCCTGCAGAGCAGCTGGTGGATTCAAGTCACATACCTGTGGGTCGACAGGTACAGCTCCTTACCACTAGGCAACCAGAGCTCCCCACCAACACCACAGCAACATACAAACCAAACTGTAAGACTAACTGACAGACAGGTTATAGAGAAGAGAAACAAGAGCTGGTAAACTGGAAGAAAGGAGAAGTGTTCCAGACCGGAAAGTGAAGATACACACTCTTGATAGGAGAGTTCCGCCTCAATCTTGGGCACTGCTTCTAATGACATGGGGACCAGTATCATACTGCTTCCAAGGACACTGGGATTTGAACACTATTCAAAGAGTTCGAGCTGACGGTGATCTGGATTGCAATTCCAGTTCATGGGTAAGGGGCTTCTCCCACATCCTGTAAGACCCCTGCAGGCATGAGAGCGACTGAAGGGACTCTACTCACCTGAGCAGAGGTGCTGTGCAGCTTCAGCAGCCCATTCTCAAGCCGTTCCATCTTGGCCCTGAGTGCCTTTCCGTTGCTGCGCAGCAAACTCTGGTAGAGTCTGATGAACTCCAGGAAGGATTTGGGAGTTGTGTAGTTGTAGCGCTGCTCATTGCTCAGATAAGACTGGGATGTTTGGTTGACACTTGTGTGGACAAAAGCCATGAACTTGCTGATTGACTGCTTCACTGTGGGCTGAAATCAAAAGCAAGAAGAGCTAATCGTACTGTGAAAATGTGATATGACTACTTTACCCCACTCTCTGCTTTCCCAGGGAGAAAGCTGTGCTCTGACTACTCTATCAAAGCTTCACCTTTCACTCTGAGAAGGTGGATGTGAAACTCCTCATATACTGAGATGGGGAAGGTCTTAAGCAGAATTTGCTTTCCCTTCTCACCTCAATGTTTTCTGTGTTTTGCAAGAAACGCAGACTGACAGACTCCAACGCTTGCTGAGGCCACTCATGGAACCAGTTGATGGCTGTGCAGTTGACAATCGCTGGGAATTTCCTGCTGCGGATTCTCAACTTATTCCCCACTGGGGAGAAACACAGAGTCACCTGGAAAGCCAGAGAGTGGGGAGAGTCAAGAAGTTGTTGGCACAAAGGTCATCAGAGAGATGGGCATGGTTTTGGATTTCTTCATCTCCCAGAAAATTAGAGGGCACACTCAACAGTGACAACATTTATGAAGGAACCTCTCCGGTCAAGAAACCAAGCCTTCTGGGATTACACAATGCAAGGAGGAGGGAGGCCACCACCAAAAACCATATGAGAACGGCATCCTTGCAGTGGAGTTCAGGATGACAAGGACTATATGGCCAGCACTGTACCTCCATCACCTCTCCCAAGACAATCAGGAAGGGAAGTTGTGTCTCGAAAATTGCTAGAGGTCCCACCAACCATTGCTGGTGATGGTCTGCCATGGGTAGCAAATCCTTTACCTTCAGTTGTCGTCGGACCCGATCTATAAAGAATTTCCAGCAGTTCTCTCTGCTGTCAACGAGATCTTGGCTCTTGACTTCGTTCCTCACGTTGCTTATGATGTTTTCAACTTCATCATCTGAGTAGAGATCTGGGATCTCCCCTGTTGAGGACAAGAAGCACAGAAAGGACAAGACTTGCATGTTGCTGCGGGATACAATCTGATAAAGGAGATCATTCTACTTTGAGCTCAAGCTGTTTGCTTTTTTTCAGGTCACGTTTCACCATTATTCCTGGTGAAACAGAATACAGGATGCACATTAATGAAGCATAGCAGGACGCAGGCATTTATCTTGTCATGGAGTCAGCAGCTGGTAGCACCAAATAAAATTTGTTGCTATTGAGTCTATACTGATTCACAGTAACCCTACAGATGTCTCTTAAACGTCTGAAAATGTACTTAATTTCACTTGTCACAAGAAAATTGTATAAAGCCTTCAATTGTCTTCTTTTTCTTAACATTTATTCAGTGACTACTATCCTAATGGTACTTATAGAAATTGTGCTCCTATGGAGGAAAACACTTAGCAGGAGAAGGAAAATGGATCTAAAATAGCTGTAAGACTATGGATGTAATGAGACATGACAGACATACAGATTAGTCCATATATGAAAGGGAGGGAGCAGCTATCACTCTATTTAGAGAAGAAAGGGAGAGAACACAATAGTTGCATGGAATGTGGTGTAAAACAACTAACTGCTTCCCTACCTGCCCTGCCCAAATTCATTGCCATCATGTTAGAACCTACTCATAGCTCACTCTTTAGTGAATTTTCAAATTCATGAAGGGAAGTATAAATTATTCATACAAAACATAGACAATCTGGATGTAGACAACAAAGAATATGGTTGGATCCTTATTTATATTGCTCAGCTGCATAAATTTCAAAATCAATCAATGATTTAAATAT